GTTAGTTAATAATATCTGTATTCTGTTTGATGCAGCTGGGTTAGCTAATAATATCTATATTCTGTTTGATGCAGCTGGGTTAGCTAATAATATCTGTATTCTGTTTGATGCAGCTGGGTTAGCTAATAATATCTATATTCTGTTTGATGCAGCTGGGTTAGCTAATGATATCTGTATTCTGTTTGATGCAGCTGGGTTAGCTAATAATATCTATATTCTGTTTGATGCAGCTGGGTTAGCTAATGATATATATATATATATATATCCTGTTTAACTAATGCAGCTAAATTAGCTAATGATATATATATTCTGTTTGACTAATACAGCTGAATTAGCTAATGATATATATATATCCTGTTTAACTAATACAGCTGAATTAGCTAATGATATATATATTCTGTTTAACTAATGCAGCTGGATTAGCTAATGATATATATATATATTATGTTTAACTAATACAGCTGAATTAGCTAATGATATATATAGTCTGTTTAACTAATGCAGCTGGATTAGCTAATGATATATATATATTCTGTTTGACTAATACAGCTGAATTCGCTAATGATATATATATATTGTTTAACTAATACAGCTGAATTAGCTAATGATATATATATATATATATTCTGTTTAATTAAAGCAGCTGGGTTAGTTAATGATATCTCACTATTCTGTTTTATTAATGCAGGTAAAGAGAAAATTGTGTGTAAACTTTTTACGTGTGCTACTAATGTTAAACTTCCACAATGTGCGATCTTCTTCTAAAGAAGGCTTTTAGTGCGATTGTTAAGCCTAAATTTTAACTTCAGAAAAATGTACTGGTTTGGTTACAAGATATGTAGTTGCTCACCTGTTTAATAATATACAATTTCAGAAACTTTTACCTGTGCAGATTCTTTTTCTTTTTTCCAAAACAAATTGAAATTAAAGCAATAAGAGAGTCCTCTAAAAGCTAAAGTAATTGGGAATGCATATTCCAAATGACTTCAAATTATTAAAATGGTGCTCCAACTACAAGATAAAAAAAATTACAAACTGTGTATCTACACTTACGTGTAAAGCCTGTATCCATCCGAAGGAGATTTGATATTATTCGCTATCAGTACTGCAACCACCAACCCATATATAGCAATAATACCAGCCATAACTACGGGAATAATAGACTTCATGATCAGCTCTGGCCTCATCACTGACATTGCAGCAATTCCTGTGCCAGACTTGGCTGTTCCGTAAGCTGCTCCAAGAGCTGAAAGGGGGGAGGGTCACAAATTTTAATAGGTACTCATGAAAAAGCATATCTACAGATGCAACTTCAAGCTGCTATTTCGAATTCCATCACATTTAAGCACATAGATTACAGTTTAAACATTTGTTTAACAACAAGTAAAAGTTTGGAATGGTCTATTCTTTCATTGGGGTGGGGAGTGTCTGTGAGCCGGACTAGTTTCGGAGAATTCCACTTCTCATCAGTGACCCTGGACACTACCACTAATGAAATATCAGACCAAACCAAACCTTTATGGTATCGAAAATCAAACTGGTGTATTTAAGTGTTTTACACTCACAAAAAAGAAACCTATCATTCTATACGTATTTGAAGAACTTATAGTAATCCGCCACAATTTAATTCTTCGTATTGGCATTGTTAGCCGACACTAGGCAGCTGGTACATAATTGAATAAAGTTGTTTTAACACTTGTTTAACAACAAGTAAAAGCTTGGAATGGTCTATTCTTTCATTGGGGGTGGGTCTGTGAGCCAGACTAGTTTCGGAGAATTCCACTCCTCATCAGTGACCCTCATTTCTAAGTCAGACAAATGGAATTATATTGTTATCTTAAATAAAAGCAGAAGAAATTGTAAGTGAAATGGCATCATGATCCTACTGATAAAAGGGAAACAAAATTGCAATAATATTTATTGAAACTGAAGAAAGACAGCATTGTTAATGAAAAACAGTATTTGGATATGAGACCAATAGGAGGTCATTCAGGCTATTCTTTATGGATTACCAAAAATCCACAAGGAGGGATGCCTCTTATGACCTATAGCAACTACCATTGGAACTCAGAATAATGGGTTGGCTGGTTTTTTGGTTGAATTTTTGAAGAAGTTTTCTACAAATGAATAGACACTGAAATGCAGTTTTGAGTTTTCTCCAAAATACAACAGTTGAAGTTTGACAGTAGTTTTCATTGTGCCAATTTTGACATAGAATCATATCCAAATATATCTTCAGGAGACACCGTACACTTAATTGTTGATTTGATTTACAATGACAAGTTCAATGAAGTGAATATTCCAAAACCAGTCTTTTTAAACTGATTAATTTTGACACTAAAGATTTTTATTTCCATTTGAATAGAAAGCTTTATGATAAGGTTGACAACGTTGTTATGGATTAAAGACTAGTACCATCTGTTCCCAATCTGTTTTATGTTTTCACAAAAAACAATGATTGGAAATTTGTCCGCAACAATTTTAACTGCTCTACTATATATAGGTATGTTGATGATACTTTTACCATCTTCAAAAATTCTGATGAAGCTTCCCAATTTCTATAATATTTGAACAATACACTATGTAGTGTGAAGTTTACTGTAGAACATCAGCTGGATCGTAAACTTACATTTCTGGACACTTCAATCAGTAATAATAGTGGACAATTCAAATGTGAAGTATATCTCAAAAAAACATTCACAAGCTTGTATTTTAGTTTTAAAAGTTGTATTCCAAGTATTTTCAAAAAAAATTAAGTGAAAATACTACTTTCCTGTGTTTATGAGATATCTAGCACATATAAAGAATTTATGAATATTAAAATATTCTTGAGTAAAAAAGATTTTGCAATTTACATCATTGATAGAATACTTTATAATTATTTAAAATAAGCAAAGTGTTAATACAATATTTAATTGATGTACCTAAATATCCTTTGGTTGTTGGGTAAATATTTTTGGTTATTAACAATAGACTGAAAAATGTCATTAGTAAGGTATACCTGCAGATACAACTAAGGTGTGTGTTCAAACCTAATTGTTGCCTTTGATTTTTCTTTAAATTTAAGGACCAAATTTAACTTTTGTAAATATCTTTTGTAGTTCATAAGTTTATTTGTCCTTGCTGTCAGCAAAGCTATGTAGGTTCTACCACAAAAAATTACTACCATGTGTGAAAAAACATGCTAACATTGGATCACCCATTAAGTCAAGTTTACTTGGGCAGGCCCTAAGTGAATATGATGTTGTCATTCATTTCGGTTCATTTAAGATCTTAACCAAAGCCAATGATGAACTGGGCAACTGAATAAAAGAGTTTCTCATCCTACAGTTTCTGCTGGGTAAATGTATCTCATACTTTTTGGAATGTTGTAATGTTATTTTTAGGTAACTGAGTCTTTTTCATATATATTTCAATTTGTTTGTTGTAACTTTATATTTTGATTGTTGGTACCTTGTATATTTTTACTGATTGGCTGTATCTTACATTTTCAGAGTTGATGGTTGTATCTTGTATGTTCTTACCATCTAGTTGTATTTTGTATTTTTGAAGTGGTTTGATTTAATATTATTAACTAGCTAGACACCTAGTATACATTCTGCCTGATTACTGTATACACTAATCAGTAATCAGGTATTATGAACTTTCAGAGTAGATGGTTATGTTTATATTTCAATACTAGTTAGTTTATCTTGTATTTTCTGAGTAGTTAAATGTTTCTTGTAGTTTTGAAATAGTTTGTTGGATTATTCACAAACCAGCTAGATTCATTTTAACTATTTGGCTGTATTTTGCATTTTCTCAGCAGATTTATTTAATATTTTCATTTATTTGTTTTTGATAGAGAGATTGGAGCTCCTCGAGAAAGGACACCTAAAAGATGTTTATCCCATAGAAGCACAAGAGTATGGCACAACCATTTGCCACCCCCTTGAGCAATCCATGGATGTTACTAGTAATTCTAATGAAATTCAAGATAATACAGTAACTACTGGTACACAGACAGATCACTCTGGTGGTCATTTGGCTCCTGTAGAGTGTCTTGACCCTTTATTATCAGAAGTTGACCTGCAGGTAGGCTCAAAACATAATTTCTAAAAATCTGTGACTCTATGTGAGTAGAAATATATAATATCAGAAATTAATGATCCTTAACTATTAAATTTAATAATGTAATTCTTCCTTTAATTTTTGTTATGTACTTTCAAGTTGTGCATAAAATAGCCTTATAATAGTTTATTATTATAAGTATGTAGTTATTTTTGTTGTTTCATATAGAAGGGAATCTGGGAGAACCTTGGCGAGGACCGAATGCAGCTTCTTGTGAACTCTCAGAATGTTTCCCCACTAATCTTTCACTCTACTGGTCAAACAGTTACACTTGGTACTGATGAATCAACAATACCAGCCTTCAGCTGTACTGGGTATATTATTACCCAGGCCAGTGGACCAGGCTCATACAGTTTACATTGTCCTTACCCTAATGAGGATAACCAGGAAACAACAGCTATAACAAATAATAGATGAAAGAAAGAAGAGCATTCTGTATGAGAGTATGTTTTTTTGTACAAAAACAACTGTGCCTTAAAATTTTGAAAGCAACAAAAATTCTACCTGATAGCTGGTTAATGTTTTACCTACCAGTTAGTAATTAACTAAACTTGATAGACTGTATCAAGCATAAGTTATTTTTTCATCAAACATAAATTTAAACATCAGACAAAAGAATATTAGCTCAGTTTATGTTGTAGGTAAAAGAAGCCTTTATTTATTAATACAAGAATTTAATTTTTCATTATATAGCTGCATTAATTTGATGAGAATTTAAAAAAGAAAAATGTTTAATTCTTTATATGGCCAGTGTAGTTTGTATAATTTGTACAAAAAGACTGTTGCCATATAGCCTACCCAGCTATTTTAGCTATTAGATGTAGCACACCATTTAGTGCTCCTAGTCAGGGATACAAACCAGTTACTAGCCTCAAAGGTGTGGTGTCACTGACTATAAACTTCCTAGTACTATTCCTCATGCCCTTTGTCTCATTGTCATTGTTTCATCTATATATATGTGTGCATCAGAACAATCCAGATTTTGTAACTGAGCAAAATGGACTAAGACGGAAAACAGGAGAATGAAAGACATAGCACTGTGGCATTTTGTTATGAGTAAACATTATAATGGAAACAAACAGATACACAAATAGGTTAACCAACAGCTCAGTGACATCTGAAAACAACAAAAGTTTTGTATTTTTAAGGCTTGTAAATAAGGTTTCATTTTGATAATCTGAGAGTCAAAAATATGTAATTGTTATATTTACTTAATGAAAACCTTTGAATTGAAGGTAATTTCGGTTCAAAGAATGCTGATCTGTTTCTATTAAAGTAAAATCATCCTCTTATAAGAAATAAAATAATAAGTAATTTCAATCTACTTTGCTTTGGGTATGTGTGTGGCAAAAACAAAAAAAAAAGATCATGTATAGGTTACATATTTCAAGTTATGCTTTTGACTAGTTATACAAAAAAGAAAAGATACTTGTGCCAAATTTGAAGCATGTGGGAAGGTTTAATAGCTCATTCACCTAAGTTCTTAAGTTGGTACTTAAAAAATATGTTCTAACTGTACTGAGAATTTACAAGTGATCATTGAGTAATGAACACACTGATGATTGGTTTGTACTTCATAGCATAAAACTGTGAATATATATATAAGACTAGGATCATTACACAGAGCTGTAAAGCAAAATTTCAATGGTAAGTGTTGGGGGATTATATTGCTAAATGTAGACACTGCTTATCAAAGTACTTAAGAATATACATCTGAATATAATCTGAATTTAGTGAACTATTACAATATTAAAAAAAGGAACAGTAAAATGTTCTGTTGTAAGCAATGTGATAAAACAGCTTTAACTGTACAAATAAAAAAGGTAAAATATGTAAATAATGTGATTTTGATACATTAATTTACAAAAACGTTTTTTTTTTACTATAACTGTTTGGAAATACTGCCACAATTTAGAGTTTGAAATAATATCTAAACTAATAAATAAAAAAAGTTGTTGTTTTGTTTTGCTTTCAATAGAACTTTAGTCATACTTTCACTTTTATTAATAAAAACTCAGCAATGAAATAGTTAGTTTTTAGAATTTTTGTGCTTTGACTAACATGTCGTAAGCCTATGTCTATACATTATCTTACTTTTTGTTTGAAACACAGTAGTCTGCATGTCATTCAATATTCATACAACAGGTTAATTCTTTCAGTATTATAAATTACAGTAAAATATTGAGTGTATCTATAACATTGTGCAACATTTTACTTTATTACAAAGGCTAATGAATTTATTACCTTCCATATTGCCTTTAACACTCAAATTATTCATATTAATTGAGGTTGATTTTCATATCATAAATCTGCCAAATTTTAGTAAACTAGGGAATTACACAAATGTTTAGTAATTTTTAAACACTGTTAAGCTTTTAATGATGAAATAATATAAGTTTCATAATCGAAACAAACTGGACATGTGTTTGGCAAAAACAAAAGACCATATAGAGGTGACATATATCAGTATTAAAATATTGCATATATTTCTCTAAGACTGTATGAGAGTCAATATGCTCAAATTTCATACAGTGATTAAATGATTATAAAACCTTAAATGTCTCTTTCAAAAACGTTTAATTATAGAAAAATTGACTGATTCAGGTTTTTGCTACAACATATTTATAAACTATTAAAACCTTATATGCATCACTTGAAAAACTGTGACTATAGCTGCATGGACCTGTTCTTATTTCTTGCAATATATATATAATGATTTTGTAAAGCTCTCAGTACTCTGTCAGCAGTTTGTTCATAGAGGTTTTTCTCTAAATTTTGTATAATTTCTTTAGATTAATTCTCAATGTATTATTAATGCTTTATAGAACTTTTACTTGAACTTGAAGCCAACCAGCCTGTTCACTGTCCGTGTATTAAAACCTACATGTTCCTTTTCATTTTTATAACTTCAAGTACTATCTGTATAAAACAGGTTTTATATATATATATATATAATCATCCATTTGTCTCATTTTATTGACAATGAAATTACTGCACTACTTTGTCAGTCTCTTTCATGCCATGTATCTAGTTTCCCAGTATTAAAGCATGACTGGTTAAGATCGCAACTGCTTTTCTCCACAGTTATTCAAATATTTAAAAAAATATATCAAGTTTATTGATTTTGTTTTAGTCATGGATGTCATTTAAGTGCAGTTTTGTCACTTCACTACAAAAAACATCAAAATTCTGATTCTGCTTTAAGAAAAATGCTGATTGTTGTGAAAAAATATATTGTACAAATTTTAAAGTACAAAGCATTACTAGTTAGCAATGTTAGTATTTTATACTTAAGGCTTCATTCTTTTGCACAGAGAGAGCTGTTTATTGAATAATATAAATGTTATTAGTTTATTTAAAATATCTGTAAATATACCATATACTTTCTTAAACTACTGATTGACTTAGTTACCTGGAGTAAGGCCGTTATTAATGCACTGTTAACAGCAAATTGACAAACAACTATTGATAAGCATAATTAAATGGATTTATTCTGGGAAACATACTACATATTTCAACAGAACATTTACCTGTCTTTGTCAGGTATAATTTACAGCTAAGCATACAACATTTTTCTCCTACACCAACCCAAAAAAAGAGAGAGAGAGAGATTGTTTAAAACAATAGCAATCAAAAGCAAGTGTTCTTTCACTAAACGTTGACAATGGTCCTATCAATGTAAGTGGCATTAGATTAAGTTTATTCAGCTAACCTCACTCAAACACACTTGGCCAACCTTAATCTTGTCTTTAGCTGTAATCCTGCTGCTAGGTGACAACATTCCTTAACATTAAACCGTTGCATCTTTTGTTTTTGTACATAAATCCTGTATGCTTAGCTGTAAATCATACCCGAAGAAGACAAACCAGTGTTTTGTTAAAACATATAGTATGTTCCCCAAAATAAAACCACTTCATTATGCCTATAAATTGTTTGTCAGGGTACTATTATATTAGCATAATGAACTTCCATACAGAAGTACTGCATTTTTGCTTAAGTTTGTGCTTTCAAGATTTATTGAGTTACAGCCTTACATTGGGTATGGTCATTGATAACAGTTACACAACTAAATTACATTGTTACCTCCAGTATGATCACTGATAACAGAATTGAAGAAGCACGTCCAATTATTGCTTTCTGTAAGATTACAATTAATAAAGTTATAAAAAATATTTTGCAGTTTTACCTGCATTTGAATCAAAGTAAACAGAATTACACAAAACAATTTTATCAACAGTAAGATTGGTACAGTACACTACACTATGACTTGCAATAGAAATGTTAATATAGTCAAATTATAGACAGTAAGACAGTACTGTATAGCTTAAAAATTTTTTACTGATTATTTTCATAATTGGAAGCTGTTGTTGTTCCAGTAATCTTTGCATTAAATTTTAAGTACTAGAAATTACGTTTGATAATTCCAGATATATAGCTTTCTAATAATATATATATTTTCATGAAAATGCTATATTTTGTAAGTGAACCAGTGCCCAGGTGAAATGTTGCACATTGTACTTAATGTTATTGTATATGTATTGTACAAATAAAGCTGCTTGTCACATCTGTGTGAATAAAGGGAAGTTGAATAAAATATCTTTATTGTATTTTAATATGCACAGAATATCTTAAACATTAAAGCTAGTAAGTGCAAGTTTTATTTGCTAGGAATAGTTTTAGTGTTTTATATTGCCATGTGAAGTATAATGTAACTTTTAAACCAGTCAAAAGGTACCATTTAATTTCAAAATGTTTGTTCTTTGAACAAAAGAGTTTTGTTACTTCATTCTTTAAAAAGATATTTCTTATAGCTTGTATTAAATTAGAACTATTTTTTATGGCTTGAATGTTTTCTAAAGTAAATTATTTTTTGTATTTATATAAGTATTTTTCATTCATACTATTTCTATGATGAAATATGCTTAGCAAAATTGTTAAACCAACATATTTCATTAGCATTATTTAAGCTATTTTTTCAACAGAAACATATTTCTGTAAATACAATAACTCATCCTCTTAGTAACAACTTGTCATTTTAAAGAGATGATAGAAATTGTTATATTTTACATTGTAGGATGTTCATTATGAAAACATTATCTTTGTTTTTAGCACAAACATTTTAGCAACAGACTATCCTTTCACTATCTTATTGCAAACATTCTTGCAAGTGGCCATGAATCCAATTTCTTATTTAAAACAAAACTTCACAATTTAATTACTGCCTTTGCAACTACCATAATCATCAGAAATTGGTCATTGTATTCTTGCAACTGGTTATTTTCTTTCAGTCCTTTTACAGTTTAATACGATTAAATCCACACTTTATTTTTTTTTTCTCTTATAAACACTACATCTAGCTGTTGGTTATTTTTCCTTCCCAGTTTTGTCATAAGCACCTCTTTACATTTCTGTCTAATGACTGTACTGTCATAGTAGTTCATTAGCCTTCATTCCACGCTGCTGAGTACGACTCTACTATATTATTAAAATTTCTCATCTTCCTTATTTGTGGCATAAAACTTCGTTGTAAGAAGTTATGTACCCACTAATTTATTTGATCCACTTTATTATCTCACTATGCCATATAGTATATTCAAAGTCTACTAATAATAGGCTGATGACTATGCCTTACTTCAGAGAGTACAATATATTCCAAGCCGGATTACCAAGCCTGTCCTTTTAAGGACAGTTTGTTCTAATTGAGACCCATTTGCCCAATAATATTTGAAATAAAAAGGACAGTCTAGAATTGTACTTGTTAGGCTCCTTTGAATTAAGAACAGTTACATGCTTGAATGTGTTTTAAGTATACTCTTGTTGCAGTGCAACTGATTATCCAAACAGAATAGATGCTGCGTCTGTTGGATTGGCTCTAATTTTGCAATTCTGATTAGTGGGTTGGCCTCTCATTGGATCACCCAACTACTGGCAATTTTGGTCTCCAGTTCCTCATCTTCGAGATTTGGCAATGGTTGCATTCTGTCAGGAAAAGACGGGATTACAACTCTAGGTCTTCTCTCCATTTCATATGTTATGCAGGGTCCTAAATATGATTTGTTCCAACCCATTGTCGGGTCCTATTGATAGCAAAAGATTGGCTTCTACACCTTGGTTTTTGCTTCTGCAGTACCTTCTGGAGTGTTCACCTCTTCCTAGGCTATTTCTGTGGAGGCAGCCTTGATATGCCTAGGTACACCCTGCTCTCCAGAAGCTCAAGCTTCAGATATAGTAATTATGGAGTCTTTCACATACCTTCCGGGTTTAATGTCTAAGGTTGCCATGTATCTGTCTCAGTTTTTTCTTAGTCTGAGATGAACATTTATCAACGAAAATGATATGCATATCAGTAATATTGTGTATTGAGAGGAGGTTGAAGCCAATTTAGGTAGAAGTGCCAACCATAACTCGTTTTTTGACCTGGCTCATAGGCAGAGGTTTTTGCATCTTCCACTGTTGCCCTGTTTAATGCAACCTTATCGACTATCATTTAATTATCACGACTACATAATTTTTGAGTCACCAATACTCTCCTTGGTTCCAAATGAGTATTCCAGTTACCTACCAGGTATATTAGGATTACATTACATTCTCTTTCTCTACACCTTTTTGTGACTTGACTCAAATATGCCATATATCCCCTTTATCTGATCACAGATAGGAGTGACTTGCTCTGTTTGTTTACAGACCATTTTCTCATTCTCAGACCAGTTCTTACCCAAGATTCTTTCAGACAGGAAAGGGTTGAAGTAATTTTCACTGATTCATCTGATCACTATTTCTTACTAATATGATTGATCAGATTTTGATCATGGTCATTTTCAGTGAGGGTCTTGAAGGTTTTGTTGCCTGCTCTAATGCTTTTAGAAATGCTAGACAACGACATTTTATTTTGGGCTCTATTTGAAAGCGAGGAATCTTCTGCAAGTCACAGCTAATCAAATTTGTCATATTTCTACGTCCTTAGTGGCCCGGCTTGATCAAATTGATTGTGTGAACCTCCCCCAATACTTTTATCTCACATTATTTGCCTTATTTGGTAGTCTCTTAATCTAAGAGTTTTTGCCTACCCCCTGTAGCCATCTTAACCATTTCTGCTAGATTATACAGAGGGGTGAATATTTTCATTGCTACTTTTCAGGGTCCCTTACCTTGTTTTCACTCTGTGGCGAATGATGTCTAGGCAGGTGTACTTTTATCAAACCAATTCCACAGTAGCAACCACTAATTCAATATACTTTATTAATAATACCACAGTCTGTAGAAATAAGGTGTTCCATAAGACCATCTAGGAGCTGACCGGGTCGTATTACTGTACTATGCTGGACCACCACTCGTGAACCGAGTAGTGGAACCTCGGCTCTCTGATTGGGCTGGCTTATAGTGATGATCACTTTGGTACAATTCCACTGAGATACAGGAATTAAGTTCTGGGTGCAGTGCAGCTACTTACTGGCCCCTCCACCTTCTCAATGTGGAATTCTAGCTATAAGTGTGAAAAAAGGTATGTATGTTTTAAATTTAACATTTTTCTAAATTTAAAATGTATTTCCAATAATGCTTACTTCTTCTCCCACCCTTCCTCCTCACTAAAAGCTGGTGTTAGAGACTGGGATGGGGTCAGTATCGAAAAAGTGATAGCATTATACAATACCAGAATTGAGGGCACATCGACATAGGTGGAGAGTGTCATGAGATGAATATTGCCAATGGCACTTAAGTGGGGTATAAAAGACTGGAGCAAGGCAGAACAAATCAAAATTTTATTGAACTACTATTTCATGAGCTTTTGTCAATAAGTTTGGTATCAAACTGTAGATTATAATTCACAT